AGTCTAAGATTTTTGAAATTATAGCCTGGTCAGGTGGTAGATTTTCATTTTTCCAAAACTGGGCAAATACTATTCTTGCAGCTGTTAATACATGTAATATTAAATAGTCATTCTCCTTATTATTCTAATAATTGTTCAATTTACTACATTACCATAGCTAGATCCTACTATTCCTAGCAAAAACAATTCTGGTTTAATTTCTATCTGTATTTTCGTCATCTTTTCCAGCCATCTATGAAGACTGTGATAAAGAAACATAAAAGCTATGGTTGTGCAATTGCTTCTGCCATCTTGGTCCCCTTCTAATTTACGTTCCTTAATCATCTCACCACTTTCATTAATAGGTTAATGGAGGAGAGCAGCTCCCGGCCCAGCCTCTCAAGACATCCCTGTGTCATAATGCAAGGAGTTGGTTTCCATAGCAACGGAGGGCTTTGAAAGATGCTTTAGACTGAGACTCCCTAGCTCAGTAGTATGAAAGCAGAAGTGGTAGCTGTATCAGGCTGTTGACACAGCTTCTCTTGTGGAGCTCCAAATTCTTTAATCCAAATGTATGTAGTAAACATGTACTTTGGCAGATAACCTGACCAACATCCTGAAGAAACAGAGTGGGCAATAGCCATTTTAATAGCAGAAATACTGTACAATATGAGGATGTCCAAGAAGGTAAGCTTTGGGATACAATAGGAGAGGTTGTTAAAAAAAAAGGAATCAATTAAAAATATCTGTTGGGGTTGAATGAGCCAAAAGTTTTATATAAGAAGATTTCTATTACATTCCTGTAAATTGCTTTAGTCTCTGGAAGAACAGGGTAAGAGTGGGATGAAATAGAATCAGAGCTGGAAGTAATAAAATAAAACTAAAATAATGTTGACAGATAGAGCCAAAGCCCTGGTGCTGATTTGAGATGATCACCTTTGATATATCAAGACAAATTCAAATTTTGGATTGAAAGCTTAAAGGAATGCTGCCATCTATTAAGCATGAACAGTTGCCCATTTCATGCTTTATTGGCAACTACAAATTCACACAACTAATTCTAACTTTGGGAAAGGTTTACTTCATGCCCATTCTCTGTATCTAATATTGAGCAAATCTATGTTAATGTGTGGCTATTCTGTCCAGACAGGGAACTAGTTATTCGTGTGGATTTAGAAATGTATCTGATCTCCTATATAGGACTACAAATATATAGATAGCCACCAGATAGCAGCAAAGAGAAGACTAAAACTTTTAACTGTGATCTGGTTATTATCCAGCTCTACGCTACCAGTAGCTTAGCTACATAGATGATTTTCTGTCTCATCTTCATACATTGAATTTTCTTTTTCAACATACCAGAACCACTCACATCACCTTCCACAGCTGCAGGACTTACACATCACTCACTGCCTGTTGTTGAGAGCCAGTTTGGTCTAATGGTTAAGGCACCAGGATAGAAATCAGGTAAATCTGAGTCCTATTGTACTACTACACACATTTATTTTATCCATATGCCTGATGTAAACAATAATTACACAAGCTGAATTTTTGCCCTTGTGTTTTAGGAAAAAGTGAACAAGTGAAAAAGTTTGACTTGATTAGCAATTCATGATTAGCAGTTCAAGCAGAAAGTGGGAATTAATTCGATTGAATGCCCATGCTAAAAACAAAAACTAATGTCAGCATGACATGCTGACTATTATGTTTGAACAGCAACTTCCTTCTTTCACATCCCTGTTCATCTTTAAAAAAAACATTTAGTTGCCAGTTTGTTGGCAATACTGGAAATATTTTAAAAATGAATAATTTCATATTCCTTTAATTGACTCTTGATGTTCACATCTTCATTTGTTTTCTCTGGGCTGAATATTAGTTTGTTTTTATTATAAATCAGTTACATAATGCATCATTTGCAAAGTTAGTTCAGAAGTAAGCTTCCATGTTTTTACTAATCATATATATATATATTACTCTGTGAATATGTTGTTCTCAAAAGGACATGGTGCCCAATCTTTCAGTTTAAACATTAAACTATACCAAGGTTGAGTGTTTTACAAATGTCTTTCAAAGATGCAAGAGAAGCAGCAAATCATTAAAGTCTACTATAAAATCAGAATGATTAAACAATATAAAACCAAAATTTAGATCATAAAATGTGCTCCAGTATGTTGCAGGATGGCTACATGTGTGCTGTAATTCCACAAAAGTACAGAATGGCCTTTCCCCTTATTTTTGGGCATGCTGGACTATGGTTCCATCACTTTCATCCAGAACTGATCTTTGGTGAGAGATTACAGGAATTGTATCCAAATGTTTTTCAATGGCTGCAAGGTGGAAAAGGCTATTGTAGAAAATGGCTTTAGGCACAGAAATCAGATTGCCTAATGCTTTGAACAGTAAATACTAGTTTGAGGGTATCTGGATAATACTCCAGAAAAAAATGGAAGACTCTGACTATGCTTGCACAAACGTATTTGGTTCATTGAACTGTGGTCCATCCAATACAGCAGGGGTGTCAAACTCGCAAGTCACGTGACGTGTTGCGATGTATTGCGACTTTTTTTCCATTGCCAGCAATAGGGTGGGCGCAGTTTCGGCATGATGCATCCGGCCCGTGGGCTGGCAGTTTGACACCCCTGCAATAGAGTGTTCTGAATTGGCATGATTCACTGAACTATTACAAACTAACCACATGGGCTAGATTCATACAACGTACTGGGCCAAATTGTGCTTAGCGAGTTTGTGCGTTCTGTACGAAGACCACCTTTCAGTAACTAAAATTATGGCCTCAGTGACTATACAACACTTTCATTAATCATTAACAAATACAAGAATGCAATAATGCAAGCTGTAGAATTATACAAATATATTATTAAAGCAATAGCTTTGCATAGCTCTCAATTATACTTACTGATATACATACTGTATAGAAATAATTTGTTAAAAATGCAACATGGCAATTTTGCAAAAGTGATTTGGATGATTAAAGTCCACAGGCCGCAAAGGTTTGTTATAATAATACAAACGACTAGCTACTTGACTGAGAAAATAATTAGATGCACTGTTCAATAAGAATATGAATTTTTTTGCTTTTATATGGTATGATAAATGATCAGGGTAGTGTTGTGGCTCCGTCTTGTGAGCCCCTCTTATCTGAGGAAGAAGGCTCTGAACATGAAGGAGAGGAGATGGCCAGGCCTCCCTCTCCAGGACCCTCCTCTTTGGCAATGCCTCAGGTGTCTTCCGACGGAGAAGAGATTGATCAGGAGCCAGGTGGTTCTCAGATTGGCCAGGAGCCCGGTGTTTCTCAGATTGGCCAGGAGCCAGGTGTGTCGGATGAGGAAGAAAAGTTGTGGCTGGATCCACGCCAGCGTAGAAGCGACAAGCGTGCGCAGCAGAAAAAGAGACGTGCCAGAGATTAAGCTGAGTCACTGGACCACACCCCACAGGCTATAAAAGGGTGGTGGTGGCCATTTGGACCTCTGTGACGGATAAAAGCTGAATCTCTGGCAAAGTAATCTGCTGTGGCTTTAAACTGTGTGTATTGTTTTTGTTTCTGTGTGTTTGGAGTAAAAAGGTCTTGGCAGGCAGCTACGGAGCTGCTGCCAAGTTTCTTATCTGTGCAGTGGTGTCTGGAGAAGTCTTTAACCCTCGGCTGGCTGTTTGGGTGTGTGGGTCGGAACGGGGACAGAACAGGTAGTTTGAAGTAATTTTTTAAGGTTTCTGAAGGAACTGATAGAGAGAACAACTTTTGTGCAAAGGCTTAAATTCTAATGACTAAGAAAATACTGTATACCCCTGTGATGTGTAGCAGTAAGCACAAATCAGATAATGTGGTCATGTTATTTTCAGATTTAATGTAATATCTTACTTTGTGCACTGTAGTTTATAAGTTATTCAAACCAAGCTAAAAAAGAAACAAACCGACTTTTAGCTTAGAATGATTTATAAACAGACATCTCTCTCTCTCTCTCTCATCTCCAGAGACTTTTGAGTGTTATAATTTATATTATACATGTACATATTTTACATTATAGTTTGCTGAATTCTTTAGTAAAGTGCGAGATGGAGAAGATGTGGAACCTTTTTTTAAATTAAAGATTCTTCAGTCATTTTTGTCTTAGAATGATGGTTTACTTACTGGAGGTGAAGGAATTATTGTTAAAATTTGAGGCACTTTTGTCCTTAATAGAAATGGATTTAACACAAACATACAATCTTGTGTTAATTAGCATTATAATATCCAGGTAGTGGAAACTTCATTTTGACATACAGTACATGATTTCATCATTTTATTCCTTACAAAGAAAAAAATTGGGAGTAGATTCAACTTAAAAATAGCCTGGCCAACAACTCTTTCATACATATTTTTATTTAGCAGAGATATTTCTTAAATACAGTATGCCATTCATCTGAACAAATTTCTTCAGAAGGGTTTGATGTGGAAATATTTGTCAGCCTGAAAAAGTCATATCTTAGCAACAGGAATGTGATAATGACGGTCATCTTCAGTTAGAAGGAGAACCTCGTGCCAATCCCTCTGATATTCATCTGTGTACGTTTCTAGGAAATCTTTGGTATTAATCTTACACAACCTATAAACTATTATTTTTATTTCAAGAGAATGCCCAAGGAGAAACAGATCAATCTGTGGAGGAGAAAAAATGAAACTTACAATCTATAGAAAAGACAAGTTATAATGTACAACCCGTGTAAATTAATTCATAATTAAGATGGTTGATTTGGCCACTTTTTTCTCATAAACTAGTGTGTATATTTTAGCTTCTTATGCACATGAGTCCATAAAACATGTTGATTCAGGAAGGAAGTAATCCATTTCCCTCTGAACCATACCAAGCCCCTCCCATTTCAAGCAATATATTCTTCAAACTAGATCGATAAGAATTTGCACTAATTAAGACCTTTAAAAGCAATGAAAAATGTGACAAAATATACAAACAGAGAGACCTGGAAAAAAAAGTATGGCCAATCAAGTTAATATATTTGTGACGTAACAGGTATTTTATTTCTAAAATTAATGGGCAAGGTGATCTCCACTTCCACAAAAACACAAACAGTGAACTAAATGTGGCAAAAGCTAAAAGTAGCATATTCCCAATATAACACTTTTTATGAATGAAGGCAAATATATGTGTCCCAGGATAATGTTGCAGGATCCAATCTAGGTTAGCCACTAGGACCAAAGGTTTCATCTTCCAAGCTTTTGGACTCATGCTGGAGCCCATCTTCAGGGAATTTCTCTCTACCAGAGTGCATGCTGTTCTCTGTGTGGTATTTATATGGCGCCTGTCGTATGTGGCTTTTTAGATGCTGATTGGTGTGTGTTGATGATTGGCTATTAAGTCATTGGCTGTCCAGCCCTTGCCTTATAAGTACTTGATAAGCTGGTGATAAATCAGCACTCATGTTGATTGACAAGGGGCCTGTTTCCCAGGCTTCAGTCACTTGCCTGGCTGTTTTTGTGCCTGCTCAACCAACAATCTTAGTAGCTGCAAAACTGATTGTTCAAGTTCCCTGAAGATGGGCTCCAGCACAAGTCTGAAAGCTCAGAAGACAAAATCTCTGGTCCTGGTGACTGACCCAGATTGGATCCTACAAATTGTTATGCTTTTATGAAACATAAAAAGTCACTGAGAATAAAAAAGCCTTTTTTGCCACTATTGCAAAAAAAGCCTTTCTCTGGTATCAAAAAAACAAAACTGGAGTATGATCAGAAGATGTAGTTTTTTTCCTTCTATATGAAAAATACAAGTAAAAAGAAACCTTGCAAAATAAGCAGAAACAGAAAACGGATCACTTATTAAGCCCTGTGATTTAAAAATATGGCACAAAATCTTAGCCTACTACTACTTTTCTTGCTCTGGACAGCATAGAAGTAAATCAATTTAAGCCTCCAAAGTTCTTTTTTTAATGCCAAAATTTATTAAATTTTGTTTGGCGTTTACCTGATCAAGACCTCTTCTGTCCCCTATTGAATTCAGATGATTCATCATGTAACTTAAAGGGTCCAAAGAAGTATCCCGTCTAAAAAGGTCACTGAAAAAGTTTGGAATGCATTCCTGGTTACTGGCCAAGCATTCATAAGCTTCTATTACTTGATAGAGCATGATGAATTTTATGGCCTCATAGCACTTATGCTCCATGCTTCCACCGGTAAAAAGTGCATTGCAAAAATTATGTCGTTGAGCTTGATCCTTAATACCACTGATTTCCATCCACTACAAAAGAGAATAGGATGAGAGAAAATTAGCTCTTCGGATCTATGTGAAATAGTTGTTTTATTTTGGGGAAAATATTTTTGGTATCGTATCTACTCACAGTAAAAATGGATCTGCATACAAGAGGTAGGCATTAATAGGTGGAGGCACTTGTAAGAACCAAGCTGGAGGAAATAAGAAGGAGGAGGAGGAGAAGGAGAAGGAGGAGAAGACCCCTAGAACAGCTGAGTGAGGACTGAGGAATTTGACTGATTATTTTGGGAAAGGGTGAAGACAAACATGGAGAGAAAAAGAATGGAGTATGACATCCAGAAAGAGGAAATGAATGAACGGCTGGTATTTTAAACAGGAATAGTCCACCAGTTCATGGAGTGGCTCACAGGAATGAAGGATGCTATGTATAATGCAGTCAATTCATTAAATAATACGTTTACCTCAAAGGAATGTTCTTCAAGAGAGGCTACATTAGTATGACAAAATTACACCTTTAAGCAGTTTTGAGGGGCTAAATCAACAGTTTTTAACCTCACATAAGGTAAATATATTTGCAGATTATCAAAACCACAATGCTTTTCTGAGATACTAAAAGAAATGTTAACTCATGGTTACAGAAATAATGCAAGAAATTGAGTATCTTGTAAAGCAAAATAATTTTAAAATACATTCTAAGGCATATTATCAAACTTTTTTTTAAAAAAAAAAAGCATTTAAAATGTTCCCTTCAATATTTATATGCTTCCCCAACCATATACTGATTGGTCGACCTGAGTTTTAGTTAGCTACTTTATATTTTACTAACTAATAATAGTTATAGTACCAGTAAGCTTTAGATTTTAATTTATCCCTTAATATCTGCCCACTTACCTGTCCTTTTAATGCTTCAATACATTTACGTAATTTTCCTAGTGTATTTGAACCTGTATATTGTTGTGATCCGAAGCTGTACTGTTGGATCCAATTACATCCTTGTGAATAAAGAAGTTTTTCAGGGAGCTGAAAAAGAAGAGCACAACTGATTCCTCAGTGGAAAAATTCAATAGGAAATTAGGATACCCTAAATTATTTACAGATAGTCCTCAACTTATGACCACAATTGAGCCCGAACTTTTGGTCATAAATGGTTGTAGTCGTAAGTTCACATGCGACTGGACTCAATTTTATGACCATTTTTATAAAGTCACCACAATCATTAAGCTAATCATGTGGTTATTAAGGTAATCACATGGTTATAAGTCTGAATCTAGCTTATCCAATGGGCGTTTTTTGCTGGAAAACAGCAAACATTGCAAAACACATTCAGGGGACCATGGGACACTGCAATTCATAATAAATGTGAGCCAGTTACTAAGCATCTGAAATTGGACCGTGTGACTGGTGGTGGTGCATCAGTCATAACTTCAAGGACAGGTCATAACTGTTTTTTGAGTCTGTTGTAACTTGAATATTCATTAAGCAACCAGTCATAAGTTGAAGACTACCTGTAGATAAAAGCTACAAGTATAGGGATAACAAGTATAATTCACCTATGCTTTCTCATCCTGATGTTTCAAAAAAGAATATTTGCTTCCAAATAAAAGATACTTCCAGATTTCTGAAAAACTGGGAGGCAAGATACATTATTAAGTTCTGCTATACCTGAACTCAAAGTTCAAAAGTATATGAAAGTGATTCCACTTTTACAATTGTACCTTTAAAAATCTAAACATTAAAAAAGTCTTTTTTTTCTATAGATCATCATTTATTTTGTGATTTACCTTTAGTATATCTGTGGCCTTAGTCCATGATGGAAGAGGGAGACCTTGGCTGAATATCTGGAATAGCACAGCTCTTAGTAAACAGTACTTATCTCCACTGACCTGTCTGATACATTTCACATGGTACCTCCAAAATAATGTTTTGTAACACTTTGAAAAAATAAAAAGAGGGTAGATGGGACAAATGACTAGTCAGAGCAATAGTTTGAGTAATAGTAATTACATAATTAAGTAATTAGAGAACATAATTACTTGTAAAATGTAGGTCACTTGGCCACATGTGGTCCCCAGCAACCTTTTAGTGGCCTGCATAACCCCCTTCCCCTGATAGATGGGACCAAACTGTATTATCTTTTCTACAAACATAATCAATTTGATTATCAAATTAAAATCCAGAGTAGCAAAATACCCCATCCATATACTGCAGATACCAGTTACATAAAAAGGCTTCAACAAGCCAATTCAGAAAGGCAGCATTGCATTTTCAAAAATGAGGAAAAACAGCTCTGAACCAATACAATTTTAAAGAATATTATTAAGTTTGTCCTAGGTAAAGGAATCCAAACTTTAACTGTCACTCCTGATTAGGCTGCATCCAAGCTCGCCCCTATTAATATACTCTTGTTGTTAATGTTAGCATCTGCTAATGATCCCAGGTATAAAAAGATTTATAGTGTAGCAAGCAGTCCTTTAATTAACAGCAGGAAAAAAAGTGTTTATCTATGTAGCATAATGCTTATCTTTCAAACGGCAGTTAATAACATTTTAAAAATTACACAATTTTCACACCATGATACCAGTTCACAAAACAATTCCCCATTAATTCTCACAAGGTTAATATGCAGTAAGTCAGAATGAATTAAACAAAGTAGAAAACAAAACTGCGGAATGCCAACAGAAATGCAGTTAAAATGAGCCCTTTTTGGAAACAAAGAGGATAATCTCAATATTAATTCAGGGAGACCTCAGAACATCACTAAAAATAGAGTAAGTTTACTTAACTGTTCAAGAACCTACCTCTACTTATTATTCCCCCAAGGAATCTCATTTTAGGTCATTAAGCCCAAATTACTTCACAGGAAAGTTTATATCTACTATCTAGCTATATATCTAACAAAATAATGGGCAAAAAATATGGGAGAAAAACAAAAAACATCCTCTTTCGTTTAAACAAAATTAGGGAACTTGGAAAACTGCTCTTAATTCTAAATATTATCATGATAATTTCTTTAAACCTGTTATTTTTTATTTATTTATATCCAATCTTTATTTCTTTACAAATAACTTGATGTAGCGAGCATTTCCAACACACCTTCCCCAACAACCTTGTGAGGTAGGTTGGGTGAGAGAGTGTGACTGGCCCAAAGTCACCCAACTAACTTTCATGACTAAGGCGGGATTTGAACTCACTGTCTCCTGCTTTCTAGCCTGGTGTCTTAACCACTAGACCAAATTGGCTCTCTTTATTTCATATGGTACAACTTCCCAAATCTAAACTTAATTTTATAAGTAAAGAAAAATATGATTATGAATTTTTGTAATCTCTTAGCTCGCAGCAATGTACATGAAATCATCCCCCATTTTTATGTGCAATATGAAAATCCTGTGAATTACATTGAGCTGAGAGATGTTACATGTCACGTGCAAGCAACAGGATCCATGTGTAAAATGTTCAAGTTGACTACTTTATTCTACCTACAATTCAAGAATCTCCCCAGACTGCTTGTCACCTCTTGGGAACAAGTTCCATGGAACTCAGGTGTGTGTTTGTGTGTGTGCATGTGTGTGTCAGTCCTAGGTCTTTTGCAGCTGCACAATGACTCATAGCTAACTCCCTGCTCGATCCCTCCTCCTTGCCTGGCTGGTAGTTTCCCAACAGTACCTATGCCAGTCACCAAGCGTGCTACATAATTAAATGGGGTACTGAACTTGGGACTCTCCTGTTCTAGTCCAGCACTCTAAACAGTACACAAGATGAATTAATATTTTTAATCTACAATGTTAAAACAGCATGTAAACATGTCTACATTTTTCTCCCCATTTTGAAAATAGTTTTGAGGTTAACATATAATTTCATTAGAGAAAACAAGTTTGGGTTATGCAATTCTCAATTTGATATTTCTCTTCTTATATATTGAGATATCATTGTTGCCCCAACGGAGAAGACATTTTGATTGTCCAGTCATTGAAAAGAACGCCATTTTGTGCTTGGCAGCTCACCTCTCTCATTTGTTTTGCCTGCTCTGTTTCTCCTTTCCATTCTTTTGCACAGAAAGCGAGTAAATCAGTTTCGCCCCAAACACTTCGGTTATCTAAACAAAATGTCAAGTATGACTTAATAAGATGAATCTGTTTATATTACTAAAGGTTTTTTAGCATACACACATGCAGACATAACAATACCACAAATTTTACTTGTGAATATTCTCTGTAGATATCTGCTGCACCTGAAATCCAAGCAAAAGATCAGCAGTCAGAGCATGTGAAGCAACCGAGTTTTCACACAATTTTATAACATTGGGAAAGCTAGCTAGAGGCTTGGGGATGACAGAAAAGTATTTATTTGTGCAACAAAAGGCTGGGCTCACAAAGTATGGCATGGTATAGTTTGCTTAATCAATTAACTGAATGAATCAATTTTTTTCCAGTTTCATACGACAGACTAAGTCATAAACCAGGGCTTACAAACCAAACTAGCTAGGAGCATGTGATGTACTAAACACTGTGGTGGCCTAGTAGTTAGAAAGCAGTATTGTAGGCTAACTCTGCTCACTGACAGGAGTTCGATTCCTTCGATCCTGACCATCTCAAGGTTGACTCAGCCTTCCATTGCTTCAAGGTTGGTAAAATGAGGACCCAGATTGTTGGGGGCAATATGCTGACTCTGTAAACTGCTTAGAGAGGACTGTAAAGAACTATGGGGTGGTATATAAGTCTAAGTGTTATTGCTATTGCTAAACCACAGAGAAGCAAATCATCATGTGGCTTTCAAATTAAATGAGTTATCAAAATTCATTAACTGTGATAGGTAAAGACACTCTCCATATCCAGGAGCGGTATATTTTCCCCTCTTTTTGAGGAAATGTTATGAGCACCAAGGCTTCTACCGTATAGCCAGGGGAAATTCTAAGTGGACTTAACTGAACTCCAAATTTTGTAGAAGTGAACTTTTAAGGAAAAATGCTATGAAAGATACTTTTCCTCCTCCCAAGATTTTGTCAGTAAGCACTAAGCGTGCTTGGCATCTTCAGAACAAAACACTAAAAGAAAAAAAACCCAGGAGGCAATGATGTGGAACTGCTAGAATCCCAAACAGGAAATACTCCACAATGAAACATTCTGTTATATGTCTGAGTATCTATTAAATATATTTGCAGTGTAAGGCTCCAAAAATATTTGACTGGATACTATAAACAGTATTCTATCTAGAGAAAATGAATTCTCAGGTTTCTCACTTAAAACTGACCTTTTCAGGAGATAAGCTAGATATGCACACAGTTGCCTACAAAACCAAAGAGCAGTAGCAAAAACTGTCATAGTTAACCCAAATTCTTCTTATGCTGCTTGTAACAGGGAATAGGAGTGGCAGTCAGTTCTGCTTCAAGACTGTACTTCATTTTAGCCTAGAACAGAGAAAGGATTAAGTTTCATGAAATTTACACACTAGCAAATGAAACTTTTTTAAAAAAGATACAAGATTTGTCCTCTTTAAACAATATAAAAATATGCCTCAGGCATCCATTTTGGGCCATGTTTACACAACATGCTGTAGCAGGCAGGGGCTGTGGGCTTTGGACTGAATCCCCAAAATATGCTTCTGTATACAGATAGCATAAAAGAAGCATTAAAGCTGCTGTGTCTTTCTCCTGGATTGCAGCTGTTTTAAAGTGCTCAAGATCCACTGTAAAGCACTGCAGAGATCATTTAAAAAACACAACATCTGAAGCTGAAACTTTGACAAAGTACGGCTGTGTTCATGCCAACTGTATATTATTGCCATGGCTATACAAACCCAACTACTGGCTGTATTTGCAATGAGAAGTCCAGTGTCACATGCAAAAGTAGTACTCTGGTCAGGTTGTTAGCCGAAAATGACTTAGGCTGTGACCCCAGCATGCCCAGACTCCATAAAGGCATCAAGGCAGGAATATCATTTTATTATGATTTATTCAGAATGTTCTGATTAAAAAGGATTCCTCTAACGCAAAGAGAGAATTCTGAGACCGAGCTTTCAGTCCTTTTTATAGTTAGTACATCAAAGGAAATTACAAGAGAAAAGTTGATTGGACGGAACAAAAATAACCCTTCCTTTGCATAGAAAATCAGTTACATGGAGTTGAACATATTACATGTGACCACACATATACCCATTGAAATGAAGCCCGAGGAAAGCAGGGGCGTAAAATTTAAGATGTTGATGAGGAAAAAAGTCATAAGGCTGTTTGAAGATCACAGAGAGACAAACCAAATACCAATTAGCACTAACAAGCTTTCTCTTATCAGAAGATAAACTCCAGAGATCCCATCCTATTCTGACCTGGGGAACAAAGGCAGTTTTTTATCTTGAAATTTAGGAATGTTAAAAGTTATCTTTTAAAAAGAGATAAAAATGAGTCAAATCAAAATACAAAATAACTACGTTAGTTAGCAAGTACAATACTACAAAGTCCATCCTGAGTGGCCCTCAAAGTTGATACCCAATCTAATCTCAGAATTTTTAAAAATAAGGGGAAATTATTATTTTTTGTTTTGGGACTCTTATGTCATACTAACCCAGAAAGAAGGTGCAGCCTGAAGCTAGATTTCCTTTTTAATTGGTAGTACGGAGAAAGAACTAGAAACATTTTAAAATAGGGCTATTCTCAAATGGGAAATGAGAGGCGGGAAGGAAAGCTAAGTCTTCCCCTTCCATGGCTCCAACTCTGATCTGGCTACTACATATTTGTTTTCTCTTTATTTTTTCAATGTAAAAGCACACAAAATCCAAGAAATGATAACCTGTTAGCCATTGTGAAGTTGGATGAGGTTTGTTGAAAGATGGCACTCCTTATGCAATTGGGGTAGCCCTCAGTTCCCGTGGCAATCTGGCACTGTATCCCCACTCATTTGTGCTTCTCTTTAGACTGTGTCAGCCGTGTTGTGGTAACCCACTCCCAGATTATCCTTCCTAGAAAGAATACAGCATCAGGTATATATATATCATGGTAGCCTGTATGACATATCCATACATGAGTAAAATAAGGCAGTCAGGTAAACTTCAGATTTTTTTTAAGCATTAAGCATGTAAAATTTAAGCTGTTTTTTTTTAAAAATGTGACAATTCAGATAATTAAGGAAAAAGGAAAAATGAGCATGATAAAATGGTGAATACTGAGTAGGACAGCTTCTAAGTAAGCAGTCACATTATATCCCTGTGGAGAGTATTTAATTTCCCTCTAGTATCAGAAGTTGTATGGAAGGGAAAAGTGAAAGAAACAAAGGCATAGATAAAGAAAGGAAAGGCTATGTAGATTACCTTAAACTTCTGAACAAAAGGTGGGATATAAATTTAATAAATAAGCTGGCCAAACACTTGGCAAGCCAGGAAAGAAAATTGCAATCAATCTATAGTAAAAACAATCCTGATTCCGGCCATCCAGATAAAGGATTTAGCTTCAGCTGAACCTTCCTCAAATATGATGGAGCATTTAGATCAGGGGTCCCCAACCCCCGGGCCATGGCCTGGTACCGGGCCACGGCATGCCAGCAACTGGTCTGCACAAACAAGCAAAGCTCCATCCGTGGGATGCAGGCAGCACACAAAACCATGCACTCTCCAGTCCGTGGAAAAACCTGTCTCCACGGAACCGGTCCCTGGTGCCCAAAAGGTTGGGGACCTCTGATTTAAATCATCTGTTTTTATTCTACCTTTCCATCATATGGAGTGGGGCATTTAAAGTGTGGGCAATTGCTTCTTTTACCACTTATGCATTACCTAACATCAAGAAAGTTCATTCCTTTTTTTTGGTGTTCTTTTATTCTCTTTGACCACATAAAGTGGATTACCTCAGGTATCAAGTTTTATGTTTGCCGATGATTGGGTGGAAACCCAGGAAGTTGCAGAAATCAGCAAGGTCTACATTTAGTGATGGGCAGCTGGAATTAAGGGTCAGCCACAGTTAGAGCTATGAACAGCCAGAAAAAAAGCAAAATGTTTTGACAGCCCTTCCAACAATTATTTTTTTCCAAGAACAATATATAATTGTGATAAGTAATGCAAGATAAAAAAACATGTTTGAAATTATTTCATGTTTGATTTGCCTAAGACATTCAGCTAACAAGAAGGGATGCGATAATAAGAAATGTCATGACATATGCAGCCGAAGTCAAGGTTAAAAACAACACTCTCTCTCAAATTGTAATTGCAAAGCAAGGCAGATGATTCTAAAAGGGGCCTTACTTTTATGTAGAAAAAGCCAGATCATAACTTTTGGAATTCTTTCAAAACCCCCTAATAGGAGAATCTATTCTGGGAGAGGAATGCAAGAATGTTGTTGGCAACATTCCAAGCCGCTACCCAACTGTATCTTCTAATGCAGTGGTTCTCAACCTGTGGGTCGGGACCCCATTTGGGGTCGATCGACCATTTCACGGGGGTCGCCAAGCAAGGCTGTCGGCCATTTTTTTTGTCCGCCATTTTTTTCCCCTTTTCCGGCGGGTGCCTTACCTCCCTTGGGCTGGGCCAGCTGGTGGTCGGCCTGCTCCGTCTCTGCCGCTTGCCAGCTACGCCTCGGCTGGCGCAGGGGGCGGAACCACACATGCGCGGCACTCCCGGGCAGGGAAAGTCCTCGACTTACGACCGGTTGGGTAGTCCTCGACTTACGACCGGTTTAGTCCTCGACTTACGACTGGTTTAGTCCTCGACTTACGACCGGTTTAGTCCTCGACTTACGACCGGTTGGGGTCGCGGCATTAAAAAGGTTGAGAACCACTGTTCTAATGAATATTGCAACCTCTACATAAATCTAGCTAATTTTTGAACATGAAAATTTTGCTGGATTCTTCCATGCATTCTGCATTCCTTCTGTGAGCTCATAGACAGGTCATCAATAATTACTGAGTATCTTTGCCCTCCTTATCTCTTTAATATAAAAGTCAATTTATCTATAGTCTTAATTGCTAAACTATGTCCCCTCTATGCATGCCACAACTACTCTCCCATGATATATATCCCCTGGAGCTGAAACCTTTGTTACATTAATGAATAGCAAATGAGAGGCTTACACTTGAATCTAGGACAAGAATTCACAAATTGCATGTCTCCATAAACTGCAACATTCTCAAGGACATTAATTCCAGATGGATTTATATAACTCTCCCCTTCAAAGAGGGATGCATGTTCAAACTGTTAGAACAACAATCAACTTGACTGGTTATCACAGTTCTCAGTATCCTGCATTACAAAATGTTCTCTTTCCTGGCACAGAGGAATAGATTCCTTTCTAAATCCCAAGCTGTATTCTTTACAATTTGTAAGACAATTATTTGTCAATGGTCCAGTGTGTATATACTGTACGTGCTTACCTTCAATCATTGTAATCTTATATAAGAGCTTGTTAAGGCACTCTAGTGTTCTTTATTCTTTGTAGCAGTATATCAATGACTCACTGCAATGTGCTAGCTTCAATAAAATTATTGTTGGATCCTCTTTAATTATTGGTATTTTTTTCCACTGCACTTGGCAGACCAAATTTGGCCTCATTCTATTCTATTTTTTGGAAAATTAACTTAAACTGAAAGAGTCCTGATCCCTTTTAAATAATTTCTTTCTAATTTTGTGTTGGGTTAGAAAGCAAAAAGACATCCAAGTCTGAACACAGAACCATATAGTTGGGTAGCCACCAAGTCCACTGCTAAATGCATTTTTCCTGATAGATGAGAGTTTAGTCCCTGTTGGAATGTCTATGGAGATTCTCAAGTCATTCAGGTCATAGTTGTTGCAAAGATGCTTTTTCATGAGGCAACTGGACTTTCTTGTTTTTCTTTGAAGACATTTCACTTCTTATCCAAGAAGCTTCTTCAGCTTTGACTGGATGGTGGGGAATGAAAGATTTATACTCCTTGCCTTTGTCTTTTAAATACAGATGGACTGCTGAATCTTGTCCTGATAAGTTTGTTCTCCTATGTTGTGCCATGCGTTTATGAAATGGTTGTTTTGTTTCCCCAATGTACAGATCTGCACATGGTACTGCATATACCACATTGCTCAGTTTGTGTCTGGGTGTTTTATCCTTGGGGTGGACAAGTTTCTGTCTTAGTGTATTCTTGGGTTTGACGTGTGCATGTATATTGTGTTGGCTGAAGACCCTCCTGAGTTTTTCCGATATTCCTGCAATGTATGGAATGACTATGTTGCTTCATTTATTGTTTTCTTCTTTGTCTGTTATGGAGTAGCTCCTGCTGGGTCTTTTTTGGGATTTGATGAAGGCCCACTTGGGATAGCCACAAGTTCTGAGAGCTTCTTTGATGTGGTTTTCTTTTTCTTTCCCCTCTTTGCTGGTAGGTAGGCCTTCAGCTCAGTTGTATAGGGTTCTGATAACTCCTATGTTATGCTCCAGTGGGTGGTGAGAATC